GTTTGATCTAATACTGATCTGTGTGAAAATGAATCACAGAGCAGACGAAGGAGTCAGGAAGATGTTCAAAGTTCTTGGAGAAAACTTGAGACGAGAAATGTGGGATAGATCAGTGATTGTACTGACGTTTGCAAATGCATTCCTTCAGCTAAAAAATATTAAAAAATTACCCAACAAAGCCGAGATAATAAAAAGTGAGATAGAAGATTTCCAAGGACATGTTCATGGATTCCTTAGCCCCACATTGGAGAAGGAGACCATTGATGAAATACCATTCTGTATCGCTGGAGATGAAGACGAGAGACAACTACCAACAACTGACGACTGGTTAAAAGAACTGTGGAATAAATGCATCAAACGAAGCAGTGAAGATGCTGGCAATTTCCTCAAATTAATAGCAAAATATCGAATATTGTTAATGAAAGCAGGAGCTGTCAGTGGTACTACTGCAATTGGAGCAATGGTGGGTGGAGCAATAGGTGGAGCAGCAGGGACAGTTGTACCAGTAACAGGGAATATAATAGGAGCAGCAGCAGGAGCAGTGATTGGTGGTGGGATAGCAGCCATTATTACAGGGATTGTAGTGGCTGTTAAAAAAAAGTTCAAGAATAGAAATCAACCACCTCCAAGCAAAGGACAAGAAGACTGATAGTGTTACAATCATTATTAATGCTATTTCCTAATAGTCTAGTACTGTGAACATTTAATTACTAATTTGGGTGAATTCTTCATTAATAAGTACTATAAGTAGTGATTAATAAAAAAATTTAGTCAATGATCAAGTTCAAAATGGGGACAATTCGCGACTGAAAAATACATTACAGTAACCATTAGAATGATGTCAATTATAATTACTGCATACAGTACATGTAATTAATACTAATTGACTGACCTGTTGCCATGACAGCACAAGTGTCCCTCCTGTCCTTCAGTATAGAGTGTATGATCCTCCACTGCTCACTAATTAGAATAATTATTATGATATGAAAAAATTAAATCAATTTTTGATTCCAATGTCTCATTAATTAACTTACGGTTTAAAATTCGAGTGACCAAACGATTCCTTCAGTTTATCAACATGATCCTTTGTAGGAGGAGGAATATCTAACAACAAATAAATGAATAAATAAATGAATAAGTGTATTATTTACCAGTATATTGATCATCTCCACCAGTAGACATTGATCCTCCTTCATTGTCTATTATCATACAGTCAGTCTCCTCTCCAACCCACTGACCATCAGTGTCTGTACTGCTACTGCTGTTAGTCTGATGGGTCTCTTGCTCTAAGCATATGCTCTCAAACAGTTTGGACGCTTCCTCATTTTGAAGCATCTCCTCTAATCCACAGTCGTCCCAATCATCAATATCCTCGTCCTGTCCTTCTCCTCCTCTGGTTCCTGTGGA